GGAGAGTAGGGCTGATTGAGTATGTCACATCAAACGCAAAAGCTATAAGATCGCCATCTTGTGACGCAGCTAGACAAAGAAGCCTTTTACAGAATTGAAGCTGGTATTTTGAATAATAATAGAAGAGGTTTCTCAGGAATGGTCCCCGCTCGGATTCGGATTAATTTTTAAATAGCTTAGCTTTGTCCTGAGGGGGGGGGGGCAACCTGCCTAGCGCTGCAAAAAAAAAGCAGCTGAGAAGAACTGGCTGGAGTAAAAGCTCAGCTATTGTTGAACCTCTTCTCCACTCACAGCGGGGGGAAAAAGCTGTGAATTACAAAGAGATCCTAACGACTGACCTTCTCCCTGCCCCTTTCTGCCAGAAAGAGGAGATATCTATAGATCTTATAAGATATACAGACCAGAACTCTGAGAGGAGCTCCGTTGAGCTCCCTTCGGCGACAGGCTCCTCCCCCAGAAGTCCCAATCCTCCATTTCCATCGCTAAATCGCTGCTATTCTCTGGGGCCACATCCCCTTCATTTTGGAAACTCACTTGTCCACAAATGTCCACAAAACTCAAAGTATCAGAATCTCCAGAGTTTCCACTGATCTCCACTAATACTGAATGCTGTTTTCCCTCTCTTCTCTTCCAACTCCTACTTTCTACTTGTAAGCCAACCAACGTCTTGGTTTATTTGCATTTTCAAAAAAGTTTTGTTTTGTCAATTTTATTTTGTTTGTCAGATCCTCATTTTCTATCAAGTTCAGTTTATGTCTTTGCAGTTCCAAATTATTTTTACTTTTTTATTTGTAGATTTTTCTGCAGCTCCGTCGCCAGACTTTTATATTCTGATTCCAACTTCTTTTGAGTTTGTCTATTCTGTCTGTTCTTTTTCTCTATGTATGTCATTGTGAGAACTCTGATATTTGCTTTAGAGGTGTCCCATCATGTGAGACTCTTAAGAGCCCACACACAGCCACGTCTCTCCAGCTGGAGAACTTTCTGTTGAATCTTTTTTTCTGGTTCTTTTAAGGATAACAAGTTTCGTATCTTTTTTGCTTATCCCTTTTTCTGCCTTTCTGTGCTTGTTTTTATACCTTGTTATTTTACTTGTTTACTGTTATGCTAGTTTTATTTATCCCTTTCTTACCTATATTTTTAAAAAGTTTTTGAGCTGCAGTTCCCCCTTATCTTATTATTTAAGATTTGCCTTATTTATCAATTCATTTCAATGTTTTTCTCCTCAACTTTTAATTCTCCCAGAGGAAGACAATAAAACGTACTTAAATCAATCCAAATATCCGAGAAAGTACATTTCAGAATATTTTTTTAATTTGTTAAGTCTAGACTAGAGCTGTCAAACTCAATTTCATTGAGGGCCACATATGTGTTGTGTTTGACCTTGGGGGGGACTGGGGTGGCCATGGCCATGGTGGGCAGGGCCAGTTTGATGTCACTCATGTCGGGGTACCTCTTGTGGCCTGAGCACTCTTCAAATGAAAATGGGCTTCCAAGCTCAGTTTTTGGTTGCAACAGCCTCCTTCAACCCTCTTCCAGCAGTGCTCGCAAGCTCCATTTCACTGCAATGTCCTCCTGCAATTCTCTGCCAGTGAAAACAGAGCTCAGTCCTCCCACGCTCCATTTTCACTGGTAGAGATATTGCACGCAGGTCCTTGCTGTTTTCAGGGTGGCTCCATGGGCCAGATCTAAACACCCCATGAATGGATCAGGCCCCCAGGCCTTGAGTTTGACATCCCTGGTTTAGACAGATACCAATCTTCCGTATATGACCTATCAGGTATCTTGCATTATAAAGTACATAATACAAGCATCAAAGTTACCTAGAACCATGAGATATTTTAATTTCATTAAAAATATATAATTGATAAGATGGAGTGCAAATGATTTTTCCTTTGTTAGTACATTAGCAGCAAGTATATGACGTTAATTAGATAGTAATATTCAAAAAGCAAAATAGAAGGATCTATTATTCTGATAAAATATATAGCGTAGCCCAAGGACATCAAGATGGCAAGGGAAATGAGGAGGAGGAGGAAGAAAAGGAGAATAGGAAGAGAATGAACAGAACCAAAGCAAGGACTTATGGTTAAACTGCAGTTGTCTGGTGATAAAACATAAGCTGGTTTTTATACAGAGTTGAATGGAAAGGATTTAAGACACAACTGAAAAGGCCTGCAGCTGTTTAATACACAGTTCTTCATTCAGAGGGCAGTGACTCGCTTCATAGCCTGTAGAATTCAAAACAACTACCAAAAGTATCTCTTAGTATCAGCTTTTCCCATTCTAATGCCTCCAGATTACAGTCCCAACATAACTGGAAAGCACAAGTAAACTAAAGTTGTCCCCTATTTTTATATTGTATTAGGATAGAAGTACTATAGTTAAGTCATAATTTAATTTACAAGATAAAGACAGCATTCAAAATGCACTTACTGCCACAACTATAATTAACGAATGTAAAAAGAAAATCCATCACAAGTACTAGCATAGATATGGAAAAATAAACATGCCCTCTTACCTTCATAGCAAGGCATTAATTTTTTACCATTCAATCCAAGATTGGGAGGGATAATGTTGCAAAAACCATGAGGAAGGATGTACTCAGTTTCATAGTAGACATTTTTCCAACGATGGGCACAGGCCTAAGGAAAAAGAGGAAATACTTTAAAAATTTGTTAGTGGTTGTATTCCCCCCCCTCCCCAATGTTACAAGGATAAATGTCCAACTAAATGGCAACTCTTATACTAATTAAGCCAATCTTCAATTGCAAAGTTAGGTATGGTTATTTCTTAGATGTAAACCACCAAATATGACTCATAAACTGGGGAGAAGGCAACGACACATTACTGCCAAAAGAACCCTACACAGATGTGCCCATAAAGTCAGTAGGATTTGAACTAGTCTTGGAAGAAATTTTATGTGAGTATGCTTTCTTTATACTGTGATTGGACAAACCTTTTCTTAGATAGGGATTGAATGGTAGGATTATCATTAGGTCCATAGTTAAAAGTGTATCCAAACTTTCCTCTTCTCTCTAATTTTGTAATCCTATCCCTACAATGCAAAAAAGGTCCATAGTTAAAAGTGTATCCAAACTTTCCTCTTCTCTCTAATTTTGTAATCCTATCCCTACAATGCAAAAAATGGATGGAACTCTCCTATCAGAAACCACAATCCTTGATCTACAATTAGCCCATTCCAACAATAGGGCATGAATTTCAGGTTCAATTTGTTGCTCTATTCTACAATCTAATTTTTCATATTGATCTGAAATTAATCACACAATCCTCCTAATACCCTTAGTCCTATATAAAGAACTTTTATGGCAGAATATAGAATGCTAGAATAGATTTTATATAGCTCTCTCCTTTCATAGAAAGATGCACATAAGCAATCTTATAAAAAACTGAACTATATTAGCTAAATTTATATTTTTTTAAAAATTATAAAATATTTATATTTTTAATGTTATGAAGTAGCTCCTTTTCTGAAATATTCCCATTATAAATACAAAATACACACAAACCTCCTACTGGAAGATAGCATTTTATAGGCAACGTACACTATTAAGATAGCATTTTTACAAATCTCCAGGAAACGGGATATTGCAAGAAAGAAGGAATATTTAATACAAAAATATATACTTAGCATAAACCATAATAAAAACAATCCTTCACAATAAAGCAAAATAAATAAAGCTTCCTAATGCTACAATTTATAAAATGTTTACTTGTTTCTATATAAGGAGAAAATTAGGCTATTAATACCTCTATCAATAACCTAATCTAAATACATATGAAGAAGGATATCTTACATATATAAACCATTTGAGTGGGGTTTATTCAGTACATTATGTGTGTGCTACTAATGAATCAGTTCATTAATTAAATATATTTCAGATTACAGGATATGAGGACATATGGCTAATATTTGACAAGCAAGGATATATCTGATCTCAACAACTAGGTCTTCAAGGCCATTCATTCATTAGGTTTTCCTCATGCAATACAATATGCCATAATTTCATTTGTTTGATTTTGGCTTAGTATACTGAACCCAATCATTATGATCTGCAAAATCACAATTAATAGCTATCACTATGTATCAATTCAGTTTATTGTGTTTATTCAATATATCACATTGAAGTGAATCAAATACAATAGAAGATACAACTACATGGATAAGGAAATGATCCCGAAGTCTCAATCACAGATATTCACCTTGTAAGTTCCATTACAAGTTGCAGTATCAAAACAATGATATGTGCTTCATGGCTTAATTATGCAAGTGATGCAATTATTCCATTTGCCTCCTAATGCCCAATGGAAAATATACAAGTTGGATTATTTGTGATGATATCAGAGATGTTATGTTCCCTGCTCTCAGCTCAGGTCTGCAATCCTATTTCAATGTCCTTAAGAACATCGGACAGAAACAAATGGGTTTGTGCTTTTAGTCATTCTTTAATTTCAGAATTTAGCAGCAGAGGGAAGAAACAATTTCAGAATAAATGTATTAAATGTATGGTATAGCAAAATTAAGACAGATGGTTCTTCTCCAAGTTCTAATGACTGTTCCCAAATAGCACTTTTCCAGCATTAGCATTGGAATAACTTCTCTTTTTCTAACACTTGAGTTAAAGCAAACACCAATCCTCAGGTTGATATTTGAAAATCCAAATCACCTGCCAAAATTATATTTGAAATATATGTTGTCAGCAATTTATTGATCTCTTGTCTTCCATTTAGTTTTCTATTCCAACCTGATATTTAACAAATCCATGATTTAATATGGCATTAACATTTCTGATTCTTTTATTGTTTTAGCCAGTTATGTTTCAAATGAAACATGTTAATGAAAGAACCAATGTTTCATCAAGAAAAAAAATATGTATTTAAAAACTAAACTAAAATTGCACCATTTGCTGCCTAAATCTAATTTAGTCTTGATTCATACATGGCATCAGTGCTAGCAATGGTTTCATCAGGTGGAGAAACTATGTGAAGTTACCTCTTTCTATTTTAAAACAACATATAGTGCATTAAGACCCATTAAGTCTAATACATCCTTTGTATAATGTCTCCATGTTCACATTTTGTGGTTGAAATACACATAGGTACAGTTACGGGAGAGAGGGAGAGAGAGGGGGAGAGAGGGGGAAGGGAGGGAGGGAGGGGGGAGAGAGAGGGGGGGAGAGGAAGAGGAAGAGAGAGAGACTGAGACACTATTTAAAGTATTTTTGGAACACCAAAAGTATTCCAAAGTTTTATTTCAAATAATTGCAACACAACTTTCCTAGATCATACTAGGTTATACTACTCATTCAAAAAAATGTTGAAAAAGGCTGCAAGTCATCAGAATATATGTGTACTGGAAATAGAAAAATCCTCATTATTACAATATGTCTATGCATGTTTGAAAGAAGATGAAATAAATCATCATCTGCAAAGTTGACTGAATAGAGTCTTCAGCTGAGATTTTTCCTGGTCGAAATTAAATGAATTTAGGTTGTATTTGGGGGTGCAAATGGCCTTGGATCTTCCCTCTGAAGAGCTTCTTGTACAATGAACCATGGTATTCTTTGTAGATTTCTTTAGAGAATGCAGCTTGGGGATATAATGGTTTAAATCCTAACTGAAAGAGCAGCTTCAGAAAGCTATTGACTTTTGGTGTCCATCAAAGTTTTACTTGACCTGCTATATATAGTAGAACCTCTGGTCACGAACACTTCTGACCACGACCAAATCGCATTCTGACCAAAAAGTTCACAATTTTTCCCCCTGTGGCCGATTTCCCCTTCCGCGCCATTTTTTTTGTAAGTGACACGTTTCCAAAATTAGGTTCAGGTTCAGGTCACAACCAAATCAGGTTGGGATCCAAGTTATGGAACAAATTATGATTGTGACCAGAGGTTCTACTGTATTTAATGTATACTATAAATAATATGGCAAGTCATTTAAATTTGATACATGATTGGGATTTCCACCACATTTCAGGGAGATTACTGAAATCCTGAATTGCCTGGAGGTCAAATGGTACAATAAACTGAAGTTGAATCAGAAAAGACAAAACATTCACAGTCCAACCTTGACTATTCTGAAGAACTATAATTCTGAGCCATTTACCATCAAGAACAACACACTTCATCATTGAAAAAGTCACCTCCCACTGACATTTTTCATCATAGAAAAAGTTACATTCCACTGACTTCTTAGTTGCTAATTACAAAAAGGCCATCCATAAAAATATATAGGAATATCAATATTTAGTTATTTCATTTTTAGTTTAAGCATAAAGCAACAAATAAATTATGAAACATGGCCTACAATATTTACTAAGTCTACACACATGCATAACATCTATGTATATTTTTTAAAGGAAATAAAAAGAGCAGACTTATTTACAGAAACACAAGGTGATATTTGTTTTGTTCCAAATGCTAAATCTACACTTTGAAAAGGAAGCCTTCAGGGATGACAGAAGCAGATGTAAATGCTTTGAAGCTGTCTTTCTAAATGGCAGCTTTGTCCTCAGGATGCAATTTACCTTCCTTCCAAAGGAAGCAGAGAATTAACTGAATTCTCATCAGTCTTTGGCTCAGCATATCTGTTCCCACACATTTTATGTCAATGTCAATATGACACTTCCCACTTCAATGATATCAAGGAAAAACAACTTACCAATATACTTCCTCCAACCGTTGGCTGTCTTGCCAGACTAACACCCATCCATTCATCATCTCTATCTTCTTTACATGTCTTTCCACAGAATGTTCCTCGAACATTAGCTAAAACAAATGTAGGAAGAAGGGTGAGAACTTAAAAAGGATGAAGATGGCAGTAAAGTATATCTACAGGAAATGGCACTATAGATAACAGACCATTATTTTTCCATCTGGTGGATTCAGAATTAATTTATCTTAGCATAGTATATATCTCAATAAAGGAAATACTTCATGGAAAAAAGTTTACCAATTTCATCAGAGACTGGCAATCCTTTGTCAATCCTGGCATTCTACATTCCATAGAAAACCTATATGAAATCATCATTAATATATTGGCTAAGAAGTGTTACTTTCTAACATGTTACATTTTAAAAGTTATATTAGGAGGGAAAGGATCTAATCCAGGGGTGTCAAACTTGTGGCCCACGGGACAGATGTGTCACGTGCTGGCTATGCTCACCCCAGGTTTAGCAAAGGGGGAAAAGTCACAATACATCATGTGACAACAACATAATGCCGTGAGTTTGACACTCCTGATCTAATCTCTCTTAGTCAACAGAATCATTTCTGGCAAATTCCCACCAGCTGTCATTCATAGAAACCTAGATTGTACTAACATAGAGGGTAGCAGGAAACATGGATAGCAAATCATTCCAGAAATGGCAGGTCTAATGTTTTCTCCTATCATCAATTTCAGAAAGCTATTAGAGCAAAGCACCAAGAGCCTTTGGGGTCATCAAGGAGAAGACATAAGGAAAGGGACTGGGAAAATACCAATATCTGAGGCAGAAATCTATATTTCCAGATCACTTTGATTCTTCAAACTAACAGAAAATAAACATAGATATGGACCATATTCTGTCCAATGATTCTCATTTCAATGCCCTCCCATACTGTATTGTTTCTAGTTTAAGAATATCACTTCCTGTACATCAACTTGCACACAAGTAAATAAAGATAGTCGGAAGAGTTTTTATGCAAAAGATTCTCTGTTTCTTTGGAAGAATTTTTTTTTGCTTAAACAAAGAAAGTGAAAATAAAAAAGTTGTGCTCATGCATACCTCGACCCATATCCAGCTCTGTGCACCTCCTATCAGGATTAGTGTGAACCCGACATTTGAATACAGCTCCTGGTGACTTAAGAGAAGCACTGTACTTAGAATCTGCCTTTGGGGCGCCAACCAAGACCCTGAAAATTAAGAGCAAATAAATGTTTTACATCAGAAGCAAATACACAAGTTTCGCAGTAACAACTCTCTTTCTGATCTCTTGTTTTCCCTCCACTCATGGGAATTGGCAATCACCCACTGCAGTAAGATAAGACAAGGCCTTTCCTTCAATAAATCCACGAAATATTTGAAGGAGTAGAAAATCCCAAAATGGCAAACTGAAAATGTTTCTAAGTAATATGTTCTCATACCCCAAAATAAACTGTTAGGAAAGAACAAGAACAAAGTTCTTGTTCAACAAAGTTACAGCTTGGCCTTTATATATAGTGATACTGTGGGGAAGCTATAATTTATTACTTAAAGCAAGAAAATTTGTCATTTGCCCCTAGATCCAGAGATTTGTAGGCAGAGAATTCTAAGCTTACTTATCAGCTAGGAGATTTCATTGTTGTTAAACAAGAACTAATAGAACAATCCAGCCTGAATTGAACAGAAATGTTGGTTTGAATCAAGACATATCTGATTTCACCCTAATGCAATATATAAACTCAGTCACTGTAGTTCTATAAATTAATACAATCTATGAACTCACCCTATTGTTAGTTCATTCAATAAACAAAGGAGACAATATGAACTATGCATATGCCATAGAGTATGTGAATCAGCAGCAAACATAAAAATTCTACCATTCACAAAAGTCAATGTCATTTTTGTTTATTCAAAACTGATTTATAGAATAAACATACCAATCCACAAGTTGTACTATATATTTATATTCCCTTTCTCCCCTCCACCCCAATCCTTCCCACAAGATTCTTCTCAGGTCCGCAACATGATTGCTAAAGGGAAAAGAAGAGGTACCCTTAAAAAGGACTGGACAATATTTTAAGTACAGACTCCACACTTTCCTAAAAGTTATGGAACACTATCCATTAACACCATAGTATCACTAGAAGTGTTAGGGGGAAGTATTTTAACTATTTGTTTTTGGAGAGTTATGTTGGAATGGGTACAACTGCCCCTTCATTCCCACTCTTTCTAAGATACCCAAATGCCCCCAAATTTCATAATTTTGCTGTCACAATTTTAGACTGATGGGGAGTAAAATACTATATTTTTCAGAGTATAAGACACACTTTTTCCCCCCTAAAGAGGGTAAAAATTTGGGTGCATCTAACTGAATGTAGTCCTGCCCCCTGCCCCTGCCTGTCTCCACTCTTTGGCTTCTGCCTCCCAGCAATTTGCAGGGTCCATTTTCCCCCCCATTCTGATTCCTGCTGCCCAGAACGGGCAGAAAATGGGGCGAGCAGAGGCTGAAAACAGGGCATGCTGAGACAACAATAGGCTATAGTAATCCCTGCAGCCTGAAACAACTGATCACCGGGAGACCAATCCAACAACAACTACATGCTTGTGCTAATCAGACTGTGCTGAAACTGAAACATGCTGTTTGCTGCAAAAAGGCAAATTGCTGGGAGGCAGAGGCAGATTTTTTTCCCTTGTGCTAATCAGGCTAAACTGAAACTGAAATAGGCTGTTTGCTGCAAAACTTGAACATTAGAGGAAGGGGGGAAGTAACTATATTAAGAGTTTAATTTTTCCAAAGTTTAGAAGGCTAAGCCATTCAATTGTATGATTCTGACAAGGACTATCTTTAACAATCTTTTTACAAATTAGAACAATTATCCAAATCCTTAAATTACAGAAAATTATGAAGTCAACAAATTTTGCTGTTACCAAGCTCTGATTAAAATGCCTGATTGTTTCTCAGTTTGGAGAATCAGTCAAGTTAAATGAATGAAATATAGTCATGCACATGTGCAGGTGAGCACAACTGGGAGCATCACCAGGTTGGTGGGGTGGCACGGAGGTTGCATGGGCCTGGAGGAGGCAGGGAGGCAGGGGTCGAGGCCACCCTGGGCAATTGGATGCGGCAGCTTCCTGGGATAGGAGGTGGTGGGAGGCCACCACCCACCCTGTGGCCAGTTTGGGCCCCACTTGAAGGGTTCCCACCTGAAGGAATGGACACTGGGGGTCTTTCTGCCACCAAGCCCACACAAAGCACCCCAGCCTGGGCTTCTGCAGGCAAGGCAAGGTTGAGCTGAGATGCTCCTGAAAAGGCTGCCTGGTGGGCAAGGCTGAGCCTCTCATGGGAGCAGCGGGCCGGGTTCCCAGCAGGGAAGCCTCCATGCAGCTCTGGGATGGCTCAACAAAGCCTCCTGAAGCCCTTCCCAGGAAAGCGGCAAGTGAACGGGCAGGCGGTGGCTGGCGATAAGGGAAGCCAGGTGCCTGGGCCAATCAGCTACCGTCTCTCCACCTCCCAAGCTGTTTGGGGGGAGGGGTTGATTGCTTTTGGGGCCTTCTCCCAACTGGGATCAGGGTTAAACTTCCCACCAGAGAAGTTGGAGCCTCCTCAGGCTCAGACAGTGCCTCTTGGGCTAAGAGCAGTGACAATAGCATGAACTTCTGCTGTCACATAAATATTTGTGATTCCTTTCACAAATATCTTTACAGTGTAACACTACATTAAAAGTCATGATATATGGTACTTCATAAAGGTAAAATAAAGATATCCTAATACTTGATTTTACTGCACTGTATTTTAATCTTTTTCATCCTCTCCTGCCAAAAGAGAGGCTGCTCTTTGCTCCCCATGCTTTGCAACCTGGCTGGAGATAACTGCCGCTAAAGTGATACTTCGCTTGCTGCAACTTGGACACCGGGGAGGCAGGAGTAGTGCTGTCCTGGTTTGGGGGGAAGGCGGCTGGGGCCGGGCTGCCACAGGCAAGCCTCTAAAGAAGAAGCGATGGCAGATAATTGGTTGTACGAGCAAATCATCCACCACCTCCTTTTCTTTAGAGGTCAGCGAAGGATCAGCTATGCAGCCCAGCCCTGGCTGCCTTTCCCTAAATGCGGACAACACTACTCCTGCTTCCCCGGTGTCCAAGCTGCAGCAAGCAAAGCACCACTTCAGTGGCCCTTATCTCCAGCCAGGTTGGAAAGCACAGGGAGCAGAGAGCAGCCACACCCACAGGAACAGAGAGCAGCTGCAGCTGCCACTACCCCGCTGTTGCTGCTGGTGGTGATAGAAATAGTAAACATGGACGCATCCTTGCTGTAGATTCCGCTGCACCTAGTCTTATGGGAGGCAAAATGGGAGGTGCCCCACCAGCAGAGCCTCCAGGTGGAAGGCGAGTGAGGGGCACAGCGGCGAGAGAGGCTGGCCATCCCTGAAGCCAGTTTTCAGAGGAAGGAGGCAGAGATGCCGTCCAGGGCTCACTTACTTGCCTCCTTCCTTCAAGAGCCGCAGGCGGCAGGGAAAACAAGGCTTCTTTGCCAGCCTCCCAGCTGGCAAAACAGAATTTTTTGCAGTTCTGTGGGCGTGGCTAGAGGGGCATGTGACTGAGTGTGTGTGTGTGCATGATTTATGTCAAGTTAGCTACGCCCACTTAGCCACATGCCACCCCACATAGCCATGCCCACAGAACCAGTAGTAAAAAAATTTGAAACCCACCCCTGCTTTGGGATATCCTTGACCAGGATAATAGAGCATCTCCACAGGTATCATGATAAAAATAATAATAATCAGATGTTATGGACAGATTTCTCCTGTTACATTTTGTTTAGCAAATGAAATAGTTTGGGTTTATATTACAAAGTTGAAAAGTTCTACTATTGTTTTATTGAACATACAGACTGAATATAATTATTGAAAGTACCATATTTATTTCTTGCACAGTAAGAACACAGTAAATAATTTTAGTCACAGGATTGATCAGACAAATTCATTTAATCATTTTAAGGGGTCATAGTATCATAAAATTTCAGAATTTTTGGCATAATTTACTGTAGCTTGATTTAATGAGCAAATCCCATTTAAAGTTGATGTGGAGACAAGAAACCTTCTAAAAATGGTCCTAGTTTTAGCTAGTGGGAGAAAAATCTATAGTATAGAAAATGAAATCAACTCATCACTTTACTTTTAAGTACTAAAACCATTCATCTGGCACAAGTTACTTTTGAAAACATTTAGAGTGGTGGCCCACTCGCTAAGACACTGAGCCTGTTGATCAGAAAGATCAGCAGTTCAACGGTTCAAATCTCTAGCACCGCATAATGGAGTGAGCTCACGTTATTTGTCCTAGCTTCTGCCAACCTAGCAGTTCGAAAGCACGTAAAAAATGCAAGTAGAAAAATAGGAACCACCTTTGGTGGGAAGGTAACAGTGTTCCATGCGTCTTCGGTGTTTAGTCATGCCAGCCACATGACCACAAAGACGTTTTCGCACAGCCTGGCTCTTCAGCTTTGAAATGGAGATGAGCACCTTCCCCTAGAGTTGAGAACAACTAGCACATATGTGTGAGGAGAACCTTTACCTTTAAAGTATTTCTATCTGCTCTTGCTTAGAGTAATGCAAAAAATGTTATCTTACGAATGTGCGAAATGATTCTAGAAGACTACTTGTGTTAAGTTAAATAGAAAGAAAGTAATCTTGATCTTGGGCCTATATTATATTTTATCATATGAAAAGAATTATAACAATATCCACAAAGCACCAAAGACTATACATTAGCATTCTTCAAAAAAATGCTTTTTTCTGAGCAAACTATAGCAAAGACATAGCTGGCATTTTTGCCTGTGACTGACTTAAATTAAGAGAAGCACATATGCAGAAATCATGATGCTATTAATCTGCTAAAACCCTATTTGGAAACCTAAATGTGCCGTATGTATAAGAAGTTGAAAACTTTAAGGTATGATTAATGGTGGAATTGAGGAGTGCTTTGAAAGCATGTAGTAATGACTATTTTTTAAGCAATGACAATTGCTTAAAGGGAACTTTGGAACTAGATAAATTCCCTAAAACTAAGACAACTAAGAAAAACAGATCACCTCAAGTCTATCTGTTTGTAACCTTGAAATACTTGAAGTACTTCATTTCAAGGCAACAGTTTTTGAATCAAAGTACCTTGAATCTTCTAACTTGAAGAATGTATGGAAAATATGGGACCCATTACTC